AGGGGGAGAGAGCTGTTGAGGGAGAGTGAGAGGGTAGAGAGAGGGTGAGTGAGAGAGGGAGGTGGGGAAGGGAGAGAGAGAGAGAAGGAGAGACCGGAGGAAAAAAGAAGGAAGAAGAATATGATATTAGGTAATAATATTTATGATATTAGGCAGTTATATTGGTTTATTTTGTGACGTATATTATTTTGTGTATATATCATTTAAAATGTTTAAATAAAAAAGAATAAAAGTGTACTGGTAATGGATATGGAAGGCGCGCGCGTAGCGCGCGCCTTTATCGAAATTGCGCAGAAAGTCAATCTCGTTATCGACCACGACAGAAAAACCAGCCTCGTTTAAATAATAATAATACAATGTTAATTAATAATGTTATTGAATATTATATTGGTTCTATGGACGTGTCTTGTGTTCATTGCAATGCAAAACATTTTGCATCTGAAAGAATATCTAATAGGGGAAATTCTTTTCACGATTGCTGTAATCATGGCGCAGTGTATTTGCAACCATTACCTGAACTTCCTCAATTTATTCGTAGTTTATTCGATGATAGTCACGTAAAATCTAATGATTTTTCAATATATTCGTAGTTATAATAGTTAGTTTTCATTTGCATCATTTAACGCTAATTTAATTAACTTTCAAGATAGAGGACCTGGTCCATATTGTTTTAAAATACAAGGTGCAAATTTATTATCAAATTAATACAGCATTATATGCTGCACAAAATGAAAGTCCTTCTTTTGGTCAACTTTTTATTGTGGATTCAAATGAAGCGATAGATCATCGTCTTAATCAAAATTCATATTTAGATTTTGAAATTGTACAAAATCTGGAACATATAATGCGGGAAATTAATGTATTTGCTCAATCTTATCAAATGATGGGTGAGGAATTAGAAAATCAACGGCGTTTAGAAATGGAATCTGATGAATTATTACCGGAATTACAATTATTATTTACTTTAAGGCCAGGTATGGATAGACGTCGATATAATGCTCAGAGAACTAATGAAGTAGCTGCTGTTTTTTATACAACTGCTGATGGAGAAATTCCAGAATCATACGTTACAATACGTAATAGAAATACTAAAATTTTACAAAAAGTTAGTATTATGGACCCAAATGTTGAACCATGGATATATCCATTGTTTTATCCATATGGCACTCAAGGATGGCATCGTAATTTAACAAAATTAAATAGTGATAGACGAATAACTAGAGGACAGTATATTAAATATCGTATGGGTATTCGGGATGAATTTAATGTTTTTTTATTAGGACGTCGCTTATTTCAGCAGTGG